AAAAAAAAAAAATTTTTTTTTTTTTTGAGTGGAAAAAATAAATAAGATTAATTCTAAAACAAATCTGTATTTATTATACATCTATATCAATATATATTTATTTCTGCATAATATTATTTATTATCATTATCATGTTTCTATGTATTTGATACATCAAATTGAGGTCATTGTGACAACCAGATCAGTAAACTATAAAGGATTTTCCTCATCTATTGTAGCCGAAACCCATGGATTTTTTTGGCTGATACATTGTTCTTAAATATGGCTGTCAGTTATAATAATATTTAGCGAGATAAAACAAAAGAGAAAAAAAATTTTTTTTCATTCCTTTTCTGTTTATTTCTACAGGTTTTTTTAGTTTAGAAAAATTTTTAAAAAGCGAACAAATTTTTTTGTCCTAATCCTTAGGCACTTATATCACTATTATTGTCAGCATCAGCATCGTCATCATTGCCACCATCACCTGTGTTTTACAACATCACACCTATGAACTGCTCAATATTGCCTGGTGATGATGACGGTTTTTTCGGATAATACGCCTGTCTAAAGATTCTGTAACTTTGTCAACGATGTATGACCGATTTTGCCGATTCTTTTTTTGTGTAACAGCAGGTCTTTTCCTAATACTTTTTTAAATTGACATTTAGGTGTCTTCTAAAGATCGTTATCACTTCCGCTGAACTGTTAATTTATCAGAAGAACTGTTGCGTAAATAGTGCTAAGAATCCTTTATAGATGTATTTATCGGCTGTTCAGAGGTAGAAGAACAGTGAAAAAACAAAAGGATAAACAGCCTTACCCTTCCTTTGCCCCCCGATAAACAGTTTCGAAATTATCTGCTGCAGTTCAGAAGCAGCAATTGTCATAATTTTTGGTGTTTTTTCCATTTATCTTTGAGATTTGAATTCGGAAGCTAATTGTGTTTGTATATTCTTTTATTTCGATTATAGCGATTGTGCGTTTACATCACTAAATCCGCTATATTTAATGTAACCAATTGCTACCCTGTTATTTTTTTTTTTGTTTTTTTTCTTTTTCCAGTTTGGGTAATATTCATTTGTCTTCTTAGAAGATGAAGATCGAAACCGCAAACAAGGAGTAAGTTATTACTGTCGTTTTCTTTTCCTTCTTACACTCAACCTTTTCAACAGTGTTATCGTATCTGCCAAACAGTGGCAACGTTTCTTCAATGAACAATTTTCTATTTTTTAAATAGACTGACTTTAAATTCCTATTTATCAGCAGATTAAGCGAGTACATAGAAATGATGATGATGAAATTTGCAGCCAAAAGCATTCAATAAAAGGTTCAGATGAACAACGAACACCATGGCCATCGGTTTGTCTTAGCTTTCTGGTACAAACGCTGAACGGTATTCAATTTTCAATCTACATAACTTCTATGTGGCCATATCTTACGACGGTAACACAATTTTACAGTTATGCATTTTCCATATCTTTTTATCCTCAACAAACTTCGGAATTTGTTCACAGTAAAATGAAGAAAGAGCGAGAGAAAGGGATTTAGTAGGTTATGATATTAGATGAAGTTGATGACACTTTCTCCGTGTTCAAATTTTTTTAAATAGTTATCGTTGTATCTGTTAGAATACACGTGCCTAGGAAAAAACTTTCTTTGCAGAACAACAATTTATAACCGACAGACTAAATTAAAAAAAGGGGTCAAAAAATTCTGTACTATTTATTGCAGCTAGAACCAAACGCGGGTCTATCATTCTTTGGTTGGATAATGTCGATATACAGTATTGGGCAAATGTTTTCAAGTTGGATTTTCGGCTTTTGGAACCAGAAGACGATGTCCACAAAGCATCCGGCAGCATTTGGCCTTGCCTTTACCGCACTTGGCAATGTTATATATGGTCTTTTGCCATTGCTTCCATCTTATCAAGCTTGGTTTATGCTCATGGCTCGCTTCTTGGCAGGGTTTGGTTCAGGTATTTGTTACAGATTGAGTTTTTTTCACCAACCCTGTAAGCAGGAGTCTTATAAATGTTATTCTGAAAGTAGAGTAATGATAAGAAACTCGTTTATAGGTACACTGAGCGTTATACGTTCCTACTGTGCTATGGCAAGCGTGGCTAAAGATAGGGCAAAAGTTATGTCCTTAGCTGTCGGATCATTCGTTTTGGGTTTATCATTAGGCCCAAGCATTCAGGTTAGATTCCAATAAACTTAAAATATTGAGGTGCGAGCCCAACAACATTTATCGCCTTAGACTAATATTACTTTGTTGTTGTAGTCTATATTCATTCCTATTGGCAAAGATGGCATTTCTATTGGTCCGATAATACTTAACATGTACACTGCACCAGCATTTTTGATGGTTTTCATTTCACTTGGCTCAATATTTTTGCTGATGTTTTGTTTCGTCGAACGCTATTCTGGAATCATCTCCAGTGAAGAAAAATCAGGTTACTTTCGCGAGCGTTTACCCAGTGAAATGTTTGATTGTTAAGTAGATGTCGTTGTGATAAGCTGGTTGTGAAGGAAACGTATTTCAGAGAAATGCTCTTTTTATTTCTTCGATGTAATTGATCCACATTTTAAGAACTTAATCATGCGTTTTCTTCTAGATCCTTATCTAGTAATTCCGAAGTTTGACCGCATCGCTGCTGTCGTTTGTATCTACTTATATTTCTTACTACAACTAGCAGGAACTAGTCTGGAAGTGTTAGTTTAACTGTCATTTTTAATTTATTCATAATATAAGCTGAGATTATGTAAAGCTCACTCTCAATTTGGTCGTCTTCTTTTCAGTTTTTTCTCTTTGTACCTACGGAAACGCTTCTGCTCTTTAATTTCATGCTAAAATGTATTGTTTACAATTTAACTGCCTTCATTGGCCGCGTTGAATACACCTCGATAGTGAGAAGGATTTCAAATTTAATTTGAAGTCATTGTGAAATAGAATTGAATTCAGTTTTTTAAAGAATGTCAACCCCGCTAACAATTTCTTTATACAACTGGCCAAATGCAAAAGCACTGTTTTATAACGGTACCCTTCAGACGATTGCTTGCAGTATCGATATTGTAGTTTACCTTCTTATAAGTTTTTCTCGACTTGGATCTTTGTAAGTTTTGACGCTTTATCTTCTTTTTCGCTATCTTATTTCGAAAGACTGTGTGAAACTCTTGCTTAAAACTTCAAAAAGACTCCGTATGCTGAGATATCTGTGCGCTTTAGCAGTCTAGCAAATCACTTTTTATTGATCCAAAATTCCAGCAAAAAATGAATGCTTTTTACAGGGACAAAAGAATCATGCTTCTCATTAGTCTATCATGCTTTATTATCTATCAGATCTTTACTTTGCCATGGCCTTTTTACGAGGGTCCTTTGGATTATATTGAACTCGGTAATTTTGATGCTTGTGTCACGTATTGTAAGCTCTTGTTTGAAAACAGAGAGTAGTTCTAAGAAATTTTTCTGAAATGCCACGAGACATCGGCAGTTTTTTTTAGCGTTAAGTAGTGAAGCGGAATCAAGGAGGCGGAATAACCGCTTGGTATGACTTTCAATGATAAAAAGGGTAGTGAAAATCGTAAAAATTAACTGAAACTTTTTTCGTTTTCAAGGGTGCTCTTCTTGCTTGTTGCTTGTTTAAGGAAGGGTTATCTTAATGCTTGACTGAGTTTTTTCGATGAAAGATAGAATTTTTTTACTAAATACAGTGAAATTTTAACTTCTGCAGCTCCTAATTCGACAGTAGAAGATACAGCTTACTCTGGTGGTTGTTATCGTCGATACGCATGGTGTGCTCATACAAAACGGGTCCCACTACCAATTTACGCTTTTGGATACACAATTGTTCTCGCTATTGCATTTCCATTCTTGGCCGCTCCAGTTGGAATCTTGTTTTCTGAAGTTCTCGGACCACGTAAACAAGTATGTTTAAGCTGTTTTATCAATTAAGAGTGAAATTAAGGATTTGTTTACTGTATTTTACTGTATACTTTGCTTTTTTCATCTTATTTAGTCCATTCCTGTTATTTCATAAAATTCAGGGAGTAATGCAAGGTGTTAATGAAATTGGTGGCTGTATTGCTCGATGTATTACGCCAATTATACAGTCGTTAGTTTTGCTTTTTATGTGAAAATTTTTAGCATTTAAAGGTTTAATGCTCTTGTTGAAGCCATTACACGAGTAAAAAAAACTAGAAGAAGTTAGGCATGTAAACCTTTTTAAAGTTGCTTTTGATTTGAAGTAGCTTTGAAGGTTATGTGTGACGGACTCTTTTTTTCAGCATGTTATTTGAAAGTTCGGGTTATATTTTTCCTGTCTTGATGAACCTGACGTTGTTAGCAGCTGGGCTTTTATCAATGATTGTTTTTTACGGCAGGATGACGCCACTAAAAATGAAACCTAACATTGGGGTTGCAACTCCATACAAAAAGGGTGTTTTCTACCGGTTTTAGAGCTTATGATCTCTTATAAACTACTACTTTTTCCATCGAAAAAAATACTGTAAGTAATTGTTATTCTTTATTTGTCAAGCGAAATTCAGCATCAGATAAACCATAACAGGATTGAAATAAAGTGATAAGATAATAAAGCAATTCAGTAGGGCCTGAAGAAGCAAAGAGGGGTTAGTCCCTTTAGCTAAAAAAGTAGTTGAAACATGAAATTTTGATAATATGTACAATATTACTGCTATGTTTCTTCGCGACTGAATTGTTACTCAGGACTTCTTTACCAGCATCATCTGGGATGTTAGCAAAGAGGCCTTAGACCTCTATTTTACGCATTTCTTAGATAATTTGCACTAAAAACACAATTTTTTCAGAAGTCAAGATTATGATTACAATAGAGGAAGAGTGGGAAAAAAGCGAAGGAAACAAGAAGGGAAGAGATGGAGAAGAGAAGTAGATGGCGACGAAGGAGTAAAATAATGGTGCCACACATGTTAGCAGAATTTCACAATTCAGTTTTGTTTTGTAGACCAAAGGCAACCCTCCTCTATTACTTCTACAGGTCTTAGTGATCTTAACTTGATTGTCCAATCAATTTATTCCATTTCTGTTACGACTCTTCCAATGTCAATCTTCGTTTTGTTGAACTTTATTTTGTTTTAACATTAAATAGTGACAAATACTTGGAGCATTTTTTAAAGTAATTTTAAGAAAATTGGTAAAGATAACATTCTTGGTATGAAGGATACAGAATAAACCTGACAAGCTTAAACTTTTAGCGCTTTGGTTTCTCTTTTTTGTAAACTACTAAAGTGTTTATCTGGTGCTGTTTGCAATGATACAGTGAACTGGGAGCGGTGTTCTTCAAAAGACGGAACTGTCTTGTCTAATGGAGCCAAAAATGATGCAAATTTTTTTATGTTTCCTATCTCTTTTTTGAATCCAAAAGGTGGGAAAGGTGGTAGCTCACCTCTACGAGACTTCGGTTGTTTTCAGAAAATTAAGACGGGGGACGGAGACGGGGGAGGAGAAGAAGGCGAAGAAAGCAGGTGCTTCGTTTTCCTTGTTTTTGATAGTTCAGTTTTTTTTCGAGGAGGGTAAGTCAAAAGTTTGTTATTCTGCAAAAATCAGATGAGAAGCAAGTGCTTTGTTAGTCCTGAAGCTGTGCTGACCAGCATCTGAAGCCATTAAAATGTTTCAGTGCGATGATAAGTGGGGATTTCACAGGCACTGGGAGTTTATTTTTCTGTCAAATATTTCAGCTATGTAGACTTTCGTTAACTGAAGATTTAGTGGTAAAATCGCGTATTAGAATACGATAAATGGGTGGTAACGGAAACAGAGAACGGTGAATAGAGAAGGAAGAGACGAGTGATGGGTGGAAGAGAATTATTATATAATGAAGCATATCAAAAATTATTCTTGCCTATCTATGGAGCTGTCTATGAGTCTAGTCATTTACTTACTACACTTCTTGATTATCATTTCAATAATTAATTTATCTGCTTCATTGTCTACGTGCTAAGCTTTTTCAGTGCATCGACAACAATCTATCATTATTGATCTATGGATAAAAAATTTATCCCAAATAAAGAAGGAAAAGAATGGTTCTTTTCTTGCGTTCTAATCTGGTAGTTTTTTAGAAAAATGTTTACACCGTTAATAAATTGGCACTAACGTCGATATTTGACAAAAGAGAAAGGTTTATTTTATGGCACTGACGGATCAGTGGACTAAGCTGATATTAAATATACTCTAAAAAATTAAAATGTGGCTTTGAACAGGCAATAAATTTTGATAAAGAAAAGTGTATAATTGGAACTCAAAGTATGGGGTTTATTCCTACGTATATCCTATGTGTAAACATAATTTTGAGTTCACTTTCAGTGATGAAAGGGAAAAAGAGTGGAATCAGTAGTTGAAAGATCCGACATTCTGAGTGCGTAAATATGAACTTAAATTTAGACAGATGCTTTTTTTTTTGCTGGTTTAAGGTTGAAACAACCAAAAAACTGTACTTATTACAGCTATTTATCGCTTATACTATGTCGTTTCAACAACTGCTTCTTCTATATTTACAGGTATGTCTTTTCAAACAATAAAGTATTGCATAATTCAGACTCTACGATATGTCTGATTATAGCCACTAGAAGTTTGGCAAACATTTTTACAGAGGAACTGCACCAGTAATTAGGTGTGAAAATGGATAACATATGGATTCTTCATGATGTTTAGGCGGATGAAAAATAATTTTGCAACCAAAAATAAATTTATGGATTCATTGAGCAATCAAAAGAGAAATTATGGGTAATAATTCAACAGTCTAGAAACACTGTTGTCAATTTTCACTTATCCGACAGTGGGTGGTGGCAAAAAAAATATGGCGAAGGGTAAATCGGGAAGAGGAGAATAGGAGATGGGAAGGAAGAAGGAGTTTAGGAAGGGCAGAAATTGAGGAAGAAGAGGAGGAAGAGGAAAAGTTGAGAGGTATAAAAAAAATAGTTAAATAAATTACCCGAGATTTTGTTCGATTAAAGTGGCTGTTACAAAAAGCGCAGAACTAATGGACAATGTTTATGGAGGAAGCGGGGACGCTGATCGGGGAAAGACGGACAAAGGTTTACGAATTGTTGCAAACAATTCATCATATTTAGTGTGTTTGTGTTGAGAGCAGGACATAACGGAATTGTGGAGACATCGTCGGAAGGTACAGATAAGCAGAACAAGGAACAAACCACCATCTGATTCTACTGATATGTATCCCGTATTCTTATCGTATTTGTTTAGATACAACAGTCATCTGTTCCCATTATTCAACGACGATAAAAACAACAACAATAATAACTACAGCAATAAAATTTTTACGACAACAATAGTAACAGCAACGACAATAAGTATTCTTAACCAACACCATTCAGAAATACCGTGGTTGACTGTCGAAAACTGCTTGAGTTCTGGTGCAATCATCCATCGGTTACGTTCAGCTAAGCATCCACCCTAATTATTAAATGAAAAAGT